TTAAAGATTTTAAATTGAATCTTCCATTTTTCGATGATTACGAGCTTGACTTAAATTTTAATATATATTGGTACTTTTTAATATATATTGGTACTACGTAGCTATGTAGCACAGAAACTCTCGGGAAAAGTATGTTTCTTTTTCGGAAACTCTACAGAAACTCTTTGAAAACTCTCCAAACAAGTCATTTGTAAGCAAAAATTGACTTTTCCTTATTTTTATTTTTTCATGATTTTCGCGTTTCCGTGCAACTTAATTAGGTATTACGATAGTATATATTTTGTTTGTGGACAGTATAATTGATATTCTAATGTGAGCATATATTATTTAAAAGATTGTAATGTCGTGTTTTCATTTGATGCATAACTAATCCAGTTCGATTTTATTCACCCGGTGGGTGAACATCAGTACTCCCTCCAATGCATGTCGACATTATAATTATTATTTTTTCTTAAAATTATTGTAACTTTTTATACTATCATATATTATCTAATAAAAAAACTATTTTAGATTTAATAATTTTTTATAATCTTTTCAATGGTGTCCATATTGCATATTAAAAAAACTCAAAAAAAATCTTTTGTCCTTAAATCTATATTTAGCCGTTTTTCTTTTAAACTTTACGTATACAATATTGATATCATATGAAAGATTCATCATCATCAGCATTGCCCCTTGCGCAAAGGCTCCAACCTTCGATAGGGGTAAAGGGGGGTTGTACGCAGTCTTCAGGGGCATAGGCAGGAGTAAGAGTTGAGCTGGACTGATACAAAGAATTTTTACAGATAAATTTTTACACATAAATTTTTACATTAGAAATATAATCAATTTTAAATTTGAGTTGGGCCGTGGTCCGGTTGGCCACCCCCTCCACCTCCGCCCCTGGCAGTCTTATCATTGTACTAAAGCTCAAAGAGACTGTTTTCAGATGACTCATAGTGAAAATCATGTCGAGAATTGCATGGACTGACTGCTGCTTCATAACAAAGAAACGCGGACAGTCTAGTGAGTTAGCTTTATTCCATCATATTCCCAAGCCAAAAAATAGTTAGTCTTTGATTCCATTGCAAATGATGGATTATCATATGAAAGATTATAAAAAAAATAAAAAAATTGATACAATTTTTGAAAAAATTGAACAAAAAAATAAATAAATAACAATTGGATGGTTTAAAAGATTTGCCATACCATGTGGCAGCTCAATATGGTGGAGGGTGAGTTCAGTGACAAAATTGTTCTCTAACTAATATTCTAATGTCATACCTATGGCCTTATAAATCTTTTAACTGCTGTTAGCTACCACACCAAACACCACTTTCATTAGATTGTTAAAAATTATACGTAGTACTAGTATATATTTATATATATGATCTTAGCTTTCGGTATAGCGTTGCTATATTTATATATATATATTAGTATTCTCACCCGTGCGATGCACGGCCGAAATAGAGAACTTTGTACTCGTATTAATTAAAACAAAAAATTGAAAGTCCGAATGATACATCAAAATTTTTACAATGACCACTTAAGAGACCACAAACAAATCCATGTTATTCAACATAACATGAAAAAATTTAAATATTTTGTATAGTACTTCTTTATAAACAACATTTGTTGTCTCATTCGAGCTTTGATCGTTAGTCATCAAAAATTAAAATTCAACCCTTTGAGGTTGTAACTCACATAAAATTGAAATGTTACAACTAAAAAACGAATTTTTCACTTGGTTTCTCTTGGGATCGTTGTAATTTAAGATTTTAATTTGAAATAATTTTACAATAATCACCAAATATTAAAATCCGAAATTGGTTCTAGCAATAGTAATGAACATGTGAACACTCACCAAGTGATTTTCTCTTTGAATGCAATTTCTGTCGATGTATTTCGAATGAATTAAATAATACTTTATACATATTAGCCATCATACGTTTTATATAGATTTCTAAAGTAAGGTTGTTGGAATATACTCCGTATTTCATTTATAATTGATCAATTATAAATTCTTGATTCTATCTAAAGTGTTGAAATGTTTTATCATAAAATACCTTTTCAATTAATTGATGCATTGAAACAATATTTATGATCAAATGGTTTTCGATTTTTTAATGCTCTGCTAAAAAGGGTCATTTGTTTACCAAGTCTTGACCAATTTACGATCCAGGCCAAGTGTACGTAAAAAATACTCATTTCAAGACGAATTGAATTAAACTTTTGAATTGAATTAAAATTTTCTAATTCGATCTAGATTTTTGTAAGTCAGGACTAAAATGGTTTACTCCAAAAATATTTTTTTTTATTGGCATTTTACCATTTTCTAAATTTGATCTGATCTTGGACTGAAATCACGCCAGTCAATAACATCCTTAAAAAAACTAAAAAAAAAACTTTCACAAATTTTAAACTATTAATTAAAGAAAGAAACAAATTTAGTTAAGAATCCAAATTTACATGACCCGTGAACATTAGTTAAATGATTAGCTACTGTGGTGAGAATTCTCTACACAAAAAAAAAAAACTTTTTTAAATAATTTATTTCTTTATCCCATTTGATGATCAAATCTAACACTCCAACATGACAGAAAGAGGTATCCATAATGCCAAAATGGAAGTAGAAATAAACAATATTTCAAAATAAGACTAAGAATGTGTTTCCCCAAGATAAGACATACTCCGTAATTAATCCTATTTAGAAAACACACTTAAAAATTATGTGACAAACCAAAATGTGGAGGAACCAAGATTAAATCGAAGTTACTTTTCTTAAAAAATACTTTTTTTATATTTTTATGTATTTATTTTACTTATTAATAATGAATATTACATGAAAAGAAATACTATAATGAGATTAGAAGGATTTCTCAAAAAACGAATATTGGGATTTTTTTTAAAACTCAAGTAAATCAGGCAATGATCTGTTACACCAATTTGAATAGACTTTACATTCTCAACCAATTTATACATATATTCACAAAGGTATACTTAGATATATTGATGATAGGATAACACCTAAACATGATTAATGATTTAAACTTCGAATTTAATTATTTAAAACTCATTCTATTTACTTTCTCGCATAATGCTTCAATTCAAATATAATGGTACATGATCCATGTCCACGGTAAATATGGTGGACATGATTGAAGTACGGAAGAAGTAAAAAATTCATTCCCTCATCCCTTGAACAATTCTCTTTCCCTTTCCATAAATATTTCCATCTCACTTTATGACTTCTTCAACCGTTTCCCTTGTCGCTCTGACTCTCCTTCTCAGCGGCCCTGCATTGTCAACCTTCCATGCATCACGCTCATAGTTTTTTATCTGAAATAGACCAGACTTTCACTTTTAACCCCTATTCCTCAAATCTTATTGTATATGTGGCAGGTCCGGAATACTCACATTTCATTTCAATTTTGTACGGGTTACTTCTTAAAAGCTTTATTACACTTTCGGATCAGAGGCTGGTAGATTGTTAAATCCCCTAGTCCCTTATTTATATACGTAGTACGCTTTAGCCGGGAGGCCAAAGGACAATTATAATTAAATTTTAGATTTACTCCATATTAGTTTTTCGAGGGAAGCAATAATATGGAACATTGAGCAGCGTATTGTTTAATTAACTTGGAGGACATGGTTATAATGCAGCATTAATAATCTGTTGCTTTCAATGTCTTGGAAGCATATTTCTCTCTTGCTTCTTTCACCGTTTCTCTAGCTCTGATCTTTTTGGTGGAATGAAACGTGTCCCTTCGGGGACATCCGATACAATTGGAACGATACAGAGAAGATTAGCATGGCCCCTGCGCAAGGATGACATGCACAAATCGAGAAATGGTGGAATGAAACGTTTTTTGTGTATTCATTTTTTTTTTCAAAAATCAAATACAATGTTTCCAACTTCAACACATTTAACCACTTTCAGAATTATCGAATTAATCTGAAAAATCTGATAATCTTCGGACCAAAAAAAAGTTTGGTTATAAAATCTAAAATCTAAGCAAAAAACTAAAAAAAATAATGTGATGTGTAAATATTAGAAAAGCTTGTGAGTAACAATTTATTGTTTGAAGCTCATAATTCGTAGTTGATTCACAAATTGTTAACAAATTTAGAAAAACATAACCTAACTTAATTATTTTATGTTAATTTACAGATCTAACTTATTTTATAAGTTAATCTATAGATCTTGGAACCATATTATGCATCTTTACGCATTCGTATTTTTTTAAATCTAAAACCCTTAAAAACTACTACGTAATAAGAATAAAACCTTAGAAAACTAATAAGTATAAAAATTAGAAAACTAATAAGAATCTAATCTGATATATAAAACTTTAAACTATTACTTTAGAAGCAATTTTTAATTCGTTATAACAACTTAGTGTAATTTCAGGTGTCAACTTTACTTTTGAAAACATAAAAATTGCAACGGCAGAAAGCTGATTCAAAAATGAAAAAAAACTCAACAAACTGGATTTCGAAGAGAAATGCTTATTTAAAAACTGAAAAAAAAAACTGTTGTCAAAGAAAAAAAACCGAAAAAAACTCACAAAGCTGATTTAGAAATGTTTTGGAAAAATAAGATTTCAATCGGTGGGCTACAAAATTCGAAGTACTACATGATACGTGTATGAGAAACATTTTATTACTTTATCCATAAATTTTGCATTGAGAGAAAGAGCTTTAATTGATGGACCACACTATATTAAATGTGTGGTGTGAGGTGTATTTTTTCCAGAATATTCCACCGGCAAGCTATACAAACAGTTTTGGCGGGAACTTGTCCCCAAGAAACCTTTTGTTATTACATTAAGAAACCTTTTGTTATTATATTAAGATAAATTATCTTAACACTTGAAATCTAGAAATCACTATGACACTATGAATGGGTAAAAGTAAACGATTATAATTTAGAAATTTGCTATAGGTACCCCATAGTTACCCCATTCCCTACCCCATATAAATACTCTCCTTTTTACCATCCCTTTTACCCCTTTCCAAAACCCTCTCCCCCTCCCCCACTTTTCTTCTCCTTCCCTCCCTCTCTCCTCCATCTTTTCTTTTCACGCAGCCCCCATCCCTTTTCTTTCTCTTTTTTCCAAATCTTGATTTCTTCTCCATTTCAAGATCTCTTCCCATCAAGTCTTCTAATTTTTACAATCTTTTCTCCCTCCAAGCTTCTTCTCCTGCTTCTCTCCTCTTCTGCCTTTTTTTCCCGTTTCAAATGGAAGAGCTACAGGAATCGGACGAAGGGGAGAGCTCGGTGATGTGGGGAGACAACGACGAAAGTGCAGATCAAGAAGTTTCGAATGACTTGATCAGATCAGATCTACTTTTCTTGATTTTTTCATTTTTAGTGTGTTTTCGAAAAAAAAGGTTGTCTATCCTGACAGACAACTTGTAAGTGCAGTGTCTGTATTTGTTAGTCTAGGAGAAGAGTATGTTGTTTTTCGTCATTTGTTTGTATTTTGTTTGGCGGACAGACAATTTGGAACTGCAGTGTTTGTCTAGCATAAAGTGAACGTGGTTTCATAGTTGCTTGAAGTGAACGTGGTTTATAGTTGTTAGAGTCGTACATAAAATGTGTGTGTGGTTAGACAACTTTAAATGTATGTGATTTTGTTTGGAAACATGGTTGTATTGGTAATGTAGTTTTTATATAAATGTGTATGCCTTTTTTTGAAACATGGTTGTATCGATAATGTGAAGACAAATGTGGTGAATGAATTACATATGTAGTCTTTACAAGGAGAAGAGTAGGTTTTCCTGTTAGAATAAGGAATACTCTATGTCTTACAGCCAGACAAATTTTGTCTTGGCCAGACATTAGTAGTCTGGGACAATTAACTACTCTCTGTCTTACAGCCAGACAAATTTTGTCTTGGCCAGACATTGGTAGTCTGGGCCAATTGAGTACTCTGTCGTATAGCAAAACAAATTTTGTCTTGGCCAGACATTAGTAGTCTGGGCCACATTCTCCTGACTTGTAGACAGACAACTCAGAAGAAAGGCCAGACATTTTATATCTCATTACAGACAATTTGTTGCAATACATTGGTAGAGAAGTCAATTCCCATGACAGAAAACTACAACCCAATTTTAATGAATTCCAAACAACATGCAAGACAATTCAAATGGGTTGCCTGAGAACTAATTTTACCTGACAGACAACTACAAAACTATTTTCTACAATTTAAAATAAACTGACAGACAATTCAAATGTCTTGCCAGACAACTACTTTCACATGACAGACAACTACAAACCAATTTTAAACAATTGGATTTAACGTACCAGACAACTAATATGCCTTGCCAGACAACTACTTTCACATGACAGACAACGACAAACCAATTTTAAACAATTGGATTTAACGTACCAGACAACTAATATGACTTCAACTACTTTCACATGACAGACAACTACAAACCAATTTTAAACAATTGGATTTAACGTACCAGACAACTAATATGCCTTGCCAGACAACTACGTACTTTCACATGACAGACAACTATAAACCAATTTTAAACAATTCAAAATAAATTGACAGACAACTCCAAACCAATTACATAATCTTCAAAATACCATGACAGACATCTCAATATCATCACAGAGTAGTCTAAATATACACAGGTACTTCATAGTTTCACCAGACAGACAACTATTTTCACATTACAGACAAATCAAATGGAATGTGAGACAACTCTTTTCACTAGAATTTGAAGCTAACAGATCCGAACCAAAGCTAACAGATCTGAACCATCACAGGTATGTTTCGAAGTTATGGTCGCTGGAATTTGAAGGTTTTGAACTGAAATTACAGGTATGAACTGAGACAACGGTCAGGTGTCGCCGAAGAAGATGACCGGCTTGCCGGGCATCAGTTCCACCTGCCATTACATAGTCCGGTTACTGTTAGATCTTCGCTCCTGCTACCTTGTCGTTGCCGCTAGGGGTCGCCGGGGCCTGACGCCTGACGGGGGTTTGGGTGGTGTCCGGCTGGGTTTTCCGACTTCCCACCGGAGCTGCTTGGGTGTTCGCTGGAACCAAGCAGGGGGGCTTAATTGAGGGAAATGAAAGGGAGATGAAAGGGAGAGGGGCTGGCTGGAAAAGAGGGAGATGAAAGGGAGATAAGGGGGGAGGAAGATGAGGGAGTGGGGGTAAATTTTTGGGAGGGTATTTATATGGGGTAGGAAATGGGGTAAGTATGGGGTACCTATAGCAAATTTCTATAATTTATATGATTTGTGTGTCATGTGAATGTCACATATGTTGCAAGTGTAAATATAAGAGTAAAGGAATATTATATTCATTTGTAGCCAGGGCCGGCCATGGGGCAGTTCACCTAGACAAGTGTCTAGGGCCTCCAAATGTTAGGGGCCTCCAAATTTATAAATAAGTCCATTAGTATACGGAGTATATGTATATTTAGTTCTTAGATGTAGTTAAATTTCAATCCATAAATGTAAAAACGTGACCGATTGAATCAGCGGAAGACGGAAGAAGCCGAGATGACTAACGAGAGCAGGCAGGCAGGCAGGCAGGCAAGAGATTTGGCGAGTAGTGAACTGTGAATTTGAAGCTGGAAACCATCAACCGTCTGAGTTCCGGCTTGGCGAGGCTGCCGATTGGGGAGCAGTCAAGTGGGCTTCAATTTTAGGTCTTTGTCTCATCGGGGATACAGGCTTCAAGCAATCAGGCTTCAGATTTTCTAAAATTCTTCTAACTTCTAAACAGCTAAGCTTCTAACTTCTTGTGGTATTTTCTTCGATCTACTCCGTAGCTTTCTTAGTTCCTCAATTGATTACTCATTTACCTTTTAGTTTTTATTTTCAATGTATTACTGATAGAGTGTTAATTCTAGAGGGAAGTGAGAGCTAGAGAGAGAAAGTGAGCAATTATATTTCTCAAATTGGAAAGAATCCCCTATAATTAGCCCCTTGGGGTCTATTTATAGGTAAAAATGTAGATTTGGGCCCCTAGCCTTGGGCTTAGGAGGCCCATTACAATAATCATGCCTTCTTTGGGCGAATAAGGCCACTAATGGGCTGAGTACAACACTTAGTACAAAAAATAGGAAAATACATTCTGCCCGGACGAAGTCCGGACGATGCGGTCCATGGACGATGCGGTCCATGGACGATGCGGTCCATGGACGACGCGGTCCATGGATGACGCGGTCCATGGACGACGCGGTTCACTGACGATGCGGTCCATAGAAATCAGGCGATATCTTCTCCCTTGGGCGTCACGTGCCTTTGGCCGATGCGGGTGTCCCGCTGGTGTCTTTTGGGCCGTTGAGTATGTGGGCCATGGGGTCCAGGCCCATATACTCTATCAGGAGTCCCCCACTCTCTGAGCTGAGGTGAAGCCGAAGCGAAAGGGAGTACTTTGTTCCTTTCTGGCTGGCCGTTGCGTGAGCCCAGGGCGTTTGATGGCCGAAGAGTTCCTGTTTTGATTTTGGATGAAGCGGTTCCCTTATTTGATGTAGATGAAGCGTGCTTGGGAACTCATAGTCTTGATGCGGGCCGAAGCACACTCTGTGGGAGTGTCTTTGAAGACGAGGCGATGCGCTTTCTTTTTGTAGATGATGCGATGAATCCTTGGTGGATAAGTTGGCATGCTTTCGTCGTTATCTTGTTGGGGCCGAAGAGCTCCCATTTATCCTTTTGGCCGTAGCGAAGACCTATTTTCATGAGATGAAGATGGTTGATTCTGTTTATGTAGACGATGCGATGCGCACCTTTGATTTGTCATGCAGCCGAAGCGTTTTGACTGGTGAGTTTTTGTTATGGTGAGACGATGCGGTCTTCTCAGTGTACGCAGCCGTTGCGATCCTCTTGTATTGGTGGACGTAGCACTGCTAGCGAATAAGCCGATGCGCGCTGATTTAGTGATTTTATAGCCGACGCAATCCTTAGTATTTTGATGGCCGATGCGATCTTTTGTTATTGGCCGTTGCGCTCTCTCTTTTTGTAGCCGATACAGTCCCCCAGTCCCCCACTCCTTTGGCCGAAGAGCATCTGAGGCACAAGGGAGTAATGAGCCGATCCGGTACCTATGCGTTAGTCGCGACTCCAACCCTTAGGCGAACCTGTCCAAGGTAACCCTGTGGGAGAACCCTTGGACGAAGGCCGCAATGCCAGGATTATCATCGACGATGCGCGCACAAGCAGCCGTAGCGGTCTATTTAAGGTTCCTTGGGTTGTTGTGAGGACGTCGAGTTTAGGCCGATGTGTTCCTTATTCGGGAGAATGGGCCGATGCCTGTTCTGGAGCTTTGTAGTAATTGGGCCGTAGTGGTGCTCGGCCGATGCTTTGCTCTTTGTGGGGTTGAGTTGGGCCGTAGAGGCGTTTGTATGAGGGATTTTGAATTGGTACCCCTTGATTGGTTGGAGGAGAGGTGGCCGTTGGTGGAGCCAATGTGATGGCGCCACGTGTAGTGACCGTTGGAGGGTCTCTATAAATACCTCCTTACTCCGAAGCCACTTCTTCATTCGTGCCCTGCTGTTTGTCGAATTGCTGCCCAAGTTTTTTCTAGAGAGATAAAGTCCCGAGATTTCCCAAGTGTTCGTCGCTTTCTTCAAATCTTCTAAGGTTAGATATTCTTAATTTTCCTTTGATTTCTTCATAATTTGCTCCTTAGGGTGTTAGATCTAGTGTTCTTTAGGAAAGTCACTTTGATCCGAAAACTACCCTTAGGACGTAGCGATAGTTGTTATGCCGTTCCCTGACGGCCGTAGCGTCCCCTCCCCAATTGACTTAACAGCTTCGCTGAACGAATCTGATTGGCCTTTTGACGACGAGGACACATCTCCTGGGGTGGATCTAAGAGTAGTGGAGGCTTTTGAAATTGAGATGGAGAACACTGCGGATTACCGCACCTCTGTGGACGAGGAGCGTCTAAGTGCCGATGCGGGTTCTCAACCTTCTGGTGAGGACGAAGCGAGCTCCGAGCCCCGGCTTCGCGAAGATAATGCGGGTGATGCTTCATCGGCCGCCATCCCCTGTCCACCACCAATTTCGTCTGTTCCGGGTGGCGCGTCGTCCTCTGGGGTGGTGAAGAGACGTACATCGCGTCGTCGGAAAGGTGTATCCGGCGGGCTTTCGCAATTGGATCTGACAAACCTTTATCTTATAAGGCCGGAGAGCACCCAGAGCGAATACCAGGTGGCGCAGTTGTACGTCGGCCCCTATGGAAAGGTGAGGGCGCCGAAGCCGACGGACCACATCTTGGACCCACCCCCTGGATATTTCGGGGTGTATCCAATGAGTTTTTCCCAAGGCTTGAGGTTTCCGCTGCCTCCTTTTGTCGTCCAATATCTGAAGATGTTGGACCTTCCCCCGGCTCTACTAACGCCGAACAGTTACTCCATCATCGTTGGGTTCCTTATCCGGTGTGACGAGCTTAGGATTGAGCCCACGACGGCGTTGTTTATGAATTTGTACCGAATCGGCCGGGGAAGCCATGAGAACTGTGCTGGCTACGCGGCGCTTCAGCAGTTGCCGAAGAAGAGGTCCTTCATAGATCTCCCTTCGTCCATCCACGGGTGGAAAAGCAAATTCTGCTTTGTGAAGTTGGCCGACGGGGTCTTCTTTCCCTCTCAAGGTCACAATGGGCTTTTTAACTTGCACACTCCGCCGAAGAGCGCTGAGATCGATGCTCAGGTGGAGGCG